GTGATTTTCTGGATTTTTGTTTTAGATTCCGTCTCTCACAGTTGAAGTGTACCTATGCTAAAAATTACAGACCTCTACATGCTTTGTGAGTAGGAAAACCTGAAAAATCAGCAGTGTATCAAATACTTGTTCTCCCCACTGTATATAATTGAGTTAATAAAGCCGCATACAAACATGGTCTCTTTTTTGTTTTCTTGAGTAAGGCAGATCCAAAATGCCGGTGTTTCAGCCGAGCTCAGTGCTTTCTGTGGTGGTGGGGCAAGCCAGCAGAAAATAGGAGCGTTGCGCCGTGATTGGCTCAGTGTTCTGTCACTCATGGGGACACTACGTCACCGCCAAGTCTAAGTCCTTAGTAAGGGTAGACATCGAAAATTCAAGCTCTGTGGGTCCTGCCATAGAGTTACCTTAGAAGTGCCCTTCCAAGAAGGCTCAAGGTCATTGGCCACAGATAAAATGACATCAAATCACGTTATATGTACAGTAGCTTTGATTGGACTGATCATGTCAACATCTTACTTTCAAAATCATAGCTAGCAGTCATAATCATGAATCAAGTTGACAATCTACTGGCAAATCCTTTTTAATCCTTGTCATTTGAAGATAAATAATGAAGAGAAATTATAGATAAAACGAATCGGTGCTCATCAGCCATTGGACATAAACATTACACAAGTTGGAAATCGCAAATTCAACAATGAGTGGTTTGGAAGGAATCGGTGGCTGACTGCAAGCATTGCAACTGGGAAGTCGGGAATAAACGAGCTCGGACTGGGAAAATACGTTTTGAACGGTCATTCAACTCGGAATTATAAATCCGGCCTCTTTCTCTTTCTTTGATGACAAAATTTGCCCATGAAGGACCGCCGCGCCACCTTCCTGTTCAAGTGAGCACATCACAACAAGGTGAGTCCAAAAACGTCTTATATTCTGCTGAATAAATTATGTAATATGCCAGATATGTATACTGTAGCTAAGAAGGTACTACTAAGTGTATGTTGTGTAGTAAGCTGTTAGCAGCCCATGTGCCTCACCCTAATAATTTGGTCTATTTTCACCTCTTAATTTCGCCTACTGTTCTAACTCGGTGGTGCACATGTAGCCTATAACCTGCTTTTGAGAAATGTAATCATCTAATATTGTAAGAGCTTTCATTGTCTGCTTATATGCCCCCTTTATTTATCCTACAGTTCTGACTTGGTGTACAGTGAGAACACTATAAGAACGGCCCATGTTCTGAATTCTGTCGCTGTTATTTTCAAAAGTGCTGAACAAATAGTTATATTGACTACGTCCGTCACAGCTCGCTCATTAATGTCTTAATCGAAATTAAGGATTGCCTCTTATCCGCTTGTCGTCCCCTTATGCCATAGTTTGTACATCTCAATTGTCAGTAGAAACCACATTTGTTTAAGCAAGTCAGCCATATCAGCTATGTTTTTTTTTTTAAAGGCAGTAAATGAGGATGAATTAACTGTTGCCAGACAAGGCTCCACTGATAGCCAAGTGTAGCAGTGGTAAGGTTTTGAAAACCATGCACCAATTTGTAAGTCGCTCTGGATAAGAGCGTCTGCTAAATGACGTACATTAAATGTAAATGTGTTGGGACTGCTGTTGGGACTGCTGCTGGGACAGCTTTATGTAGGCCCTAACAGTTTGTGGGCACCGTTTGTCACCGTTCTAGTGCAATTCATAAATTGTTTAGTGTTGTCTTGTGTAGTGGCTTTGCTTGCATGCATCCCACAATTATTATTTTTTGCCCCACCAAGGTTTACATGCTAAAATCGCCCTGATGTAGCCTACCTGATGAGTCACACTTTCTCTACGAGCAAACTAGCAACACTACACAAATAGAGACCTCTGGGATTTAAGGACTCGGGTTATTGAAAATGTAAATGTACTTTAACTGATGGCTTGAAGGCCTAGATTCCCCCTGTGATATAATTACTAATCAGCCAACCTCACTGAGCACTGCCTTGCTGAACAAAGACATGTTGTGATTTAGTATGTTGGTTTACTGGGGGAGGTGGTACTGGGAAGGGTGGGTGTGTTTCAACACAGGCGATTTGTTTGTATTTGTTCCTGGTTGGTCCTGGTGGTTTGCTGTTAGGTCTGGGTGGGGTGTGTGTACATTTGTGTGTGAGAGTGGGGTGAGAGTCCAGCTGTGTAACGGATATAACGTAGAGTAGCTATTTCTCATAGGTTTGTCCAGTGGTGGATAAAATATATCTACTGTATGAATCGTATGAAATGGACAGAGCAGGGGAAGTGTCAACTGCCAAGCTTCGTTTCCATCATGAGCTGTTTGTTTTGCAAATGCGCTGTTTTTATCTGAACAGAGAAAGTGCTCACTGCTTATGTAAGCCTGTCCTGATGTCCCCTTAGTAGTGGGCTCAAATTCAGAGGCATAACCCACATAACTCTGACCATAGAGAGACATTAAATAATGTGTTCTATTTAATTCTGTGACCCTGACTGTCACCTCAGATGACCTTTTACTGCATGGGATAACCTAACTTTTAGACATGACCCATGGTTCATTATGGCTAAGATCAGATAAGCTAGAGAATAACCCACATGTAATGGCTTCCAGAAATAGCTATTGCCCTGTCATCATTTCGATAGGGAGACAGTAGATACTGAATTTGTGTATGTTGGATAAGGGATACTGTCACTGTCCTGCATTCCTTCTGAAGACATTTGTCCATCCCTGCATGAGGAAGTTGAATAGGAAGCTGCAGCCAGAGTAATGGTGGTGATGGTAGAGGCCCTAGCTAGGCCTATTCATGGTAGCACTAGTACAGTGCCTTGCAAAAGTATTCATCCCCCTTGGCGTTTTTCCTATTTTGTTGCATTACAACCTGTAATTTAAATGGATTTGTATTTGGATTTCATGTAATGGACATACACAAAATAGTCCAAATTGGTGAAGTGAAATGAAAAAAAAAAATAACGGAAAAGTGGTGCGTGCATATGTATTCACCCCCTTTGCTATGAAGCCCCTAAAAAAGATCTGGTGCAACCAATTACCTTCAGAAGTCACATAATTAGTTAGATTGCACACAGGTGGACTTTATTTAAGTGTCACATGATCTGTCACATGATCTCAGTATATATACACACCTGTTCTGAAAGGCCCCAGAGTCTGCAACACCACTAAGCAAGGGGCACCACCAAGCAAGCGGCACCATGAAGACCAAGGAGCTCTCCAAACAGGTCAGGGACAAAGCTGTGGAGAAGTACTGATCAGGGTTGGGTTATAAAAAAAGATCAGAAACTTTGAACATCCCACAGAGCACCATTAAATCCATAATAATTTTTGTAAAAGAATATGGTACAACAACAAACCTGCCAAGAGAGGGCCACCCACCAAAACTCACGGACCAGGCAAGGAGGGCGTTAATCAGAGAGGCAACAAAGAGACCAAAGATAACCCTGAATGAGCTGCAAAGCTCCACAGCAGAGATTGAAGTATCTGTCCATAGGACCACTTTAAGCCGTACACTCCACAGAGCTGGGCTTTACGGAAGAGGGGCCAGAAAAAAGCCATTGCTTAAAGAGAAAATAAGCAAACACGTTTGGTGTTCGCCAAAAGCCATGTGGGAGACTCCCCAAACATATGGAAGAAGGTACTCTGGTCAGATGAGACTAAAATTGAGCTTTTTGGCCATCAAGGAAAAGGCTATGTCTGGCGCAAACCCAACACCTCTCATCACCCCGAGAACACCATCCCCACAGTGAAGCATGGTGGTGGCAGCATCATGCTGTGGGGATGTTTTTCATCGGCAGGGACTGGGAACTGGTCAGAATTGAAGGAATGACGGAAGGCGCTAAATACAGGGAAACGCTTGAGGGAAACCTGTTTCAGTCTTCCAGAGATTTGAGACTGGGACGGAGGTTCACCTTCCTGCAGGACAATGACCCTAAGCATACTGCTAAAGCAACACTTGAGTGGTTTAAGGGGAAACATTTAAATGTCTTGGAATGGCCTAGTGAAAGCCCAGACATCAATCCAATTGAGAATCTGTGGTATGACTTGATTGCTGTACACCAGTGGAACCCATCCAACTTGAAGGAGCTGGAGCAGTTTTGCCTTGAAGAATGGGCAAAAATCCCAGTGGCTAGATGTGCCAAGCTTATAGAGACATACCCCAAGAGACTTGCAACCGTAATTGCTGCAAAAGGTGGCTCTACAAAGTATTGACTTTGGGGGGGTGAATAGTTATGCACGGTCAAGTTTTCAGTTTTTTTGTCTTATTTCTTGTTTGTTTCACAATAACAAATATTTTGCATCTTCAAAGTGGTAGGCATGTTGTGTAAATCAAATGATACAAACCCCCCAAAAATCTATTTTAATTCCAGGTTGTAAGGCAACAAAATAGGAAAAATGCCAAGGGGGGTGAATACTTTCGCAAGCCACTGTATATAGTATTAATGAACATTGAGGAATGGGCCCTCTCCCTCCAGTCTCACACTTGTGTTACTTTCAGGAGGGCAGTGTGGGAGGGGGATATGCAAATAATGGCAGAGGGTGCCCCCTATTAGGACCTGGCAGCCGCCCCGTCAGCTCACAGTGGGCTGTTGTCACCCCGACAGAGAGTCCACCACACCCATAGCTACAGACTGCACCAGGGCCACACCAACAGACAGACTTGCACTTGACTTGGCTTTTCCTAAGTGCTGAAGAACTCTTTCTCTGACAACTTTTTTCCATGTCAGCTTCTCATGTATGGATTTTGGTTACTCAGCATGAAGTCTTTGCTTTAGAACTGAACGTTTTCTAGTTCTGTGAGGTGTTTTTACTGAGATGCTATACATCTGAACTATACATCCTTTTTACATATCTGACGCCTCTGAGGATTAAAGTTGTATGATTTCCCTCAAGCTGAACTTAAAACTTGCCGGTAAGGCAGACCTACTTTTTCTTTAGAAGCTACACTGCCATTGTTTCTGTCAGCAGTTAATTTTATTTTTCGTCTACCTTTCCTTGAGTGGGAGTAACAATGCACATTGTGGTGACATTACATCCAATTCTCCTCCTGTCAGTCACTCTGTCACTGGCTGATGCCAAATCCTACAGACCCCACCAGTCCAACCTCTACAAAGCTGGACCCAATCCTCACCACCTTGTCCATGGGAAGCCCACCAGCAGGCACAAGTGAGTATTCACTCTGACTATACTGGGCTATACTGGGCAGCTCCCTCTTGGCTCAGTATTAGGTGCATACTGTAGTATGGTCAATTTTATTTCGCCTAGTTTTCTCAAGCCAGTTAGAAATGTTGTGAGTTTGTTTTTAGATATAAAATACAAGTTTAAGAATGTTATCTAATGTATTTTTTTCTGTCATCCTCCCTCTGACAGAAACCACTGTGCCTATGTGGTTGAGAAGACTATGACATTCACCATGCAGAATGGTGTAACACCCATTGTTAAGGCTGAGTACAACAAGTGTGCCTGGGGTCAGAAGTGTTCAACCCTCATGTGAGTGACCGATACTGCATGAGACAACTATTACTAATAGTTCTACAAACAAACTTACTGCCTTTGACATTGCTACTGTTGTTGCTGTTTCTACTACTGCCTACCAAGACCATGGCGACTATGTGTATAACTGCTGTAAAAACAACCACTATTATTGTTTCTGCTGCTATTAACATATGAAAAGGGTATGAAAACAGTACTGTCATTCTTCCTCCTACTATTCACAGGCGTCACCTTACGCAGTTTCTTGAGCAATGTTTTATATTTTTTCGATCAACCCACAGGTACCGTCTGATGTACAAGCCCGTCTATAAAGTTGCCCATAAGACTCTCACTGAGCTGGAATGGCGTTGCTGTCCAGGCTACTCTGGCTATGGCTGCATGGAGGGACCCCCAGCCTACCACCACCCAATTAAGGCAATGCCTCCATTCAAGGGCTCACTGTTCAAGGACCCACCCGTTAAAGGAAATCCCTGGAGTCAGACCAAGGGCCCTCCTCCCATGAAATCTTACCCAATGCTTGCCAAGGGCCCTCCCATGAAGGGACCTCCTCCTATGAAGTCTTACCCCATGAAAGCAAAAGGTCCTCCTCCCAGCAACGTCAAGTCCTACCCTATGCGTCACTTTGGGCCTCCTATGACCCAGCCTTCCTACCCAGTGTCCTCCTTTGAGCCTCACCCCTCTGTGCCACAGCACCACCGGCAGCCAGACCACCACCAGCCTGGACCAGACCATCACTCAGATCCAGACCACCACGAGCCAGACCAACATCAACCTGAACTAGAACACCATGAGGAACCAGACCACCAGGGGCCAGACCACCACCAGCCTGAATCTGATCTAGAGCCAGACCACCACCACCAGCAGCCTGGACCAGACCAACCTGATCACCCAGACCACACAGATCACTCAGAGCTGGAGCCCGTCACTGAAGAAACAGCTCTCCCTGCTGGCAGCCAAGAAATCGATGGTGAGACGGAGTGTTATTCCAATGCATATTCAGTACTGCTGCTCATCATGAATATTACATGCAGTTTTAATAAGATTTTTACCTTGCTTCCTCTACTGGAAGAGGATATCTATATGTATCTAGAGTGCATAACTGTCCAGAAATTCCCTTGATTTTGGCAACATTCTTCAAATACTTTATGCAGACAAATAGTCCTTAACATTATGACTTATCTTACATTTACTCTCTCAATCTCTCTGATGTGTGATTGTGTATGTAACACTCTTCTCCCCTCTGTAGGCCAGGCTCTAGACACAGTGGACAGTGAGTCTGCAGAGCGTCTGGATCGGATGGAGGAGGACGTGCGGCGCCTATCCCAGGGTCTGGAGGCTCTTAGGGGGACAGTGAACAGTCTGGAGGACAGCCTGCGTGCCTCACTACGAGAGGACGCCAGCAGGATGCTCTCCGCTCTTCTGTCTGCAGCACCAGGCCCAGTCCCTGCCCCCGCTCTGTCCTCCTCCCCCCACTCCACTGTAGGCTTTGCAGACATCCCTGGAGGGGACCCTGATGCAGAGGGCCTGGATGGGGGCCAGGCGTTCCCAGGGCTGGGCGAGCTGACGGGAAGGGTGGAGGAGATCCGGGCTGAGCTGCAGGCCAAGGCCGCTGAGCTGGAGGAGCTGAGAAGCACGGTTATCAAGCACGACGGCGCACTGAAGAAGATGTCAGGAGGGGCGGCTAGCTTAACAGGGACCCCAGTGAGAGACACCCAGAAGGCCATGGAGGATCTAGTGGACGCCAAGTTGGGCGGGGCCCGGACAGAGATCGTCGATGGGTTTGAGAAGCGCGTGGAGAGTGCTGAGAGCCGCTGTGAAGAGAATGCTGGGGAGGTGAGGCGGCAGTGCCACAGAGAGCAGCAGGACAGGCAGGAGCGGATGGAGCAGGCCCTGGAGGACAGTGCCACGGGACTGAGGAAGGAGCTGGGAGATGTGCAGGCTCAGATTCAGGGACATGACCTGACAGAGGGATGCTGTGGTAGAGTCACTGGCCTGGCTGAGAGGGTGCATATGCTGGAACAGTCAGTGGCAGGCCTCAACCAGTCCCAGGAGCACCTGAGGGTGGAGCTAGGCGGGCACAAGGCCCATGTAGAGGGCATGCTGGAGGGCCGGCTGGGGTATGTGGAGGCCAAGCTCAACCTGACAGGGAGTGGAAAGGTCAGGGGTGGCAGAAGTGGGAGCAGTGGTAGTGGTGGGGTCCAGGGCAGCAGCTCAGAGGGAGAGGTGGGGCCAGGCAGCCTGGAGGTCCGTCTGGAGGGGAAGCTGAAGGCTCTGGAGGGTCGTCTGCTGACGGCTGTGGAGGAGCTGGGGAACATTACAGCCCCTGCCCTGCAAGAGGGCCACACAGTGCCCACGCTGGAGACAGAGCTGGAGTCCCTCAGGAGAAGGCTGGAGCTGGACGTGGACAGAGTGCAGAAACAGCTGCGTGGCTTGGAACTCCTCTGCATCTCCTCCTCTCAGCCCATCCACCAGGGAGACACAGCCACATTGAACACTCACATGGTGGAGGAGGAGGAGAAGAAAGGAGGAGGAGAGGAGAAGGTGAAGGGTCTCCTGGACATGCAGGCTGAACGTCTGAACAGCGTTAATCTCACCCTGCAGAGCCTCCTGACCAGACTGTCCCAGAGGGAAGACCACCAGGAGGGAGAGGGGAGCTCAGTCCAGGGTGAAATCATGCTGCTTAAGTTCAACGTCCGCTCCGTGAAACGCATCTTGAAGGGCCTGAAGGACTCGGTAGTGTCTGTGGTCCGGGATGTGGGGCATGCCAACACCACCTGGCAGGAGCGGGAGGAGCGCCTGGCCCAGCAGGTGAAGGGCGTGGTGCAGCTGGTGGGGCGCCAGGCCTCCATGCTGGGGGCGGGAGAGAGGAGGCTGACCCGGCTAAAAGGAGAGCTCCAGGAGCTGAGGAGGCGGCTGGCCGGGGAGGTGCAGGGCTGCCGCTCCACCGCGCTAGGAGTCCAGAAGGAGGTGGTGGAAGTGGGGGGCCGCTTGGCCAGCATGGAGGGCCAGTGTAAAGGCTTCAGTCACCTGGCTGAGGATCTGGAGAGGATCAGGGCGGAGCTGGAGAGGCAGTCAGATGTGTACCTGTCCCAGGTCAACAGCACCCTCACTAATCACGCTCACCAGCTGTCTGAGCTAAGACAGGAACTCAGGAACTGCACGTGGAAGGCAGAGCCCACCCAACAGAGCCTATACCTCGTAGAGCAAGAACAGTTAAGAGGAGACCAGTAACATGTCATGAAACCATTTACTGTAAGAGGGAGGCCAGTGTTCTGTACTGAGTGATAATGGACCATTATCTTGAGCCCCTGAGACAAGGGCTGGTGGTGGTATAAACAAAAGGGCAATGTTTTAACCCACTGGTGCTCCATAGAGAATTTCTAATTGTGTTGAGTTTTGTTTAGCAAAATGTTTACATTTTTTAATTTTTTATTGCTGTTCTTTAGTAGGCCTTTCATTGTACAAGTATCCAAGATACTACGTTTTTATTTTGTATGATTATTGTCTTTTGTATTTTACATTTTTATAAAACATAACAGTTCTTTGTGATCTGCATTCCTCTTGCTGTTAAAGTATTGTTTGTATAATAAAGAGGCGTTATGTCACTGTTACTCTATGGTCTGAAATGTATATATTTGTAAGAATAAAAGTATAAATTTGACAACAGTAAATAAAAATATGTACTTAAGTCCATCAGTGCATGAACACAATGGCAAAAGTAGTACATTAGGCCACATCTAAAGCCACCAGAGGGCAACAGAGAGACATTAGATTACTCTGTCACTACCCATTGAGAAGCATCTGTGTGCAGAATCAAGACAATACTGAACAAATCAGTCTGTCTGTCTTATTACACATATTGGCCAAGCCCATTGATACTGAAGCGCCTTCAATTTCATCCATTTGTAGAACATGAAATAAAATATGTAGTTTTGCTTACACAGAATTTATTATTCAATCAATATATTGAATTTGGCCATTCAGTACCCATCCTAAAAATGTGGTGCATGACACTCCTGATTGTAAATCATATATATATCAAAGGAAACTAAAACCATAATCAGGGTGAGGACTAGACATACCGAAACTGTTGACTGTCTGCTCAACATCCTCTCTCTCAATAATTGACTGTCTCTGTTCTCAAAGCACAGCTCTGATGGTTCCTTATGACGGCCCATAGGTGACCTTCCAACTTACCCTCCCCTGTCAGTCCCTGTTCCCAATCAGACGTCCCACCATTAAAATTACTGATTTGTGTGAGATGAACTGCGGTTATGTGAAAGTGTTTTGTCCACAGAGGTGGAGAATGGTGGTGCATAGTAACGCAATGCCTGGGAGAGAAGGAGAAAATAAAAAAATACACACAAAATGTAGGAGGCAAGATTGGGTGCTGAATGATAGTCATCTGCATGCACACACACACAGCACTGCGGTTGGTTGTATCCAGAGGGCACTGTCACACGTTATCACCTTCAGACCACTCTCTTAAGCACCACCATCCACTTCCTCCCTTTAATCAGCAGCACACCAAAACAGATCCATCCTGTAATCTTATCTCTCCTAATCAAATCACAATTGTATTTCTCCTCAGGGCAAACAACACAACCTCAGATCTTCTCATTAAAAAGGCGCTCAGGCTTAGAGATAGGGACTATCCCTTTCCATCAAAAATTCATTCTGGCATAACGTCCTTATGTCTCGGGAACGGGATTGTCAGAAAGGGAGCCGCATTACAGAAAATCCATTACATTAGAGATAAATGTTGTCTGAGCAAGGCGCCATCTTTAAACGCACAGCTCTCACGTCTCCTCTTGACTCCAACAGAACATCGCTGCGCAGGTTGCAGTCCTGCTTTTTTTCATTTAACCTACACTTAATTTACCAATTATTGTCACTACTGGTCGGAGAGTACAGTGCACTCACTAGGCTTCCTGGATCATATAATTCAGTAACTGATTAAAAGAAAAAAGACAAGAACAAAAACTAGCAGAAGCCTAATTTTGATTGCATCAGGGCTCCCCACAAAATATTACATTATACTATTGTCACTAGTTTTTTGCAGACTTTACACAGTAGTGTTTTTGCTGACATGACTATAGTATACTATAGTATTCACTGTAGGGTTTTTGTGGACATGACTGTAGTATACTGTAGTATACACAGAGTGTACAAAACATTAGGAGCACCATCCTAATATTAAGTTGCACTCCCTTTTGCCCTCAGAACAGCCTCAATTCGTTGGAGCATGGACTCTACAAGGTATTTATATGGGCAGGTTCAATCTAGGCCCTTCACCCAGACAGAGCTGAGTAGTTGAGCATGACAAACAACTCTCATAAACAACAACCAGTATGCATCATTAAAATGTGAGTACAAACCTTTTATCTTATAATATAGGATAGGAAGAGGACTCCATCACCATTGTTTGTTTTGTATAGTTGATGTCGGCCGCTAATGGCTGCAAAATGCATAGCTTTATGGCTATTCTTGCTACTTCCGTTAGCTTGATATTGTTTGCTTGCCATGCTATGCTATGTAGCCATTGATAAATTAGCCTGCTATAGTTTCTGTCTACCATGCCACATGCTACTGCACCCCCTTTCTGGCCATTCGTTATTAACTGCTGCTATATCTATGCATAATTTTATTATGCATGCACATTGCTGTTATTGACAGTTATTATTTGCACCTTTCTTTGTCTCCTTTTAGTTAAATCATACTCCATACAAAGCCAACCAAGTCTCAATTCAAGACAAGAGTCTCATGTCAACAATTGTCAATCATTCCCTGCCATGTATCATTTCCATTACCTGAATCTATAAAGACTCTTAAACTGAACTGCATCTCTGCCTCTGCCTGCTCTTTAACTGTCCCACAGTAGATGGGCATCACCATAACCCTCACCTAAACATCAATCAGCTACAATCTTGTAACTGAATAATATTGTGTGGCAGGCTAGGAACCAAAGTATTGGCCAGTGTTTCCCCTGGGCACCCTTATTAGGGGAGGACATGCAGGACATGTATAAAAGAACCCCTTGGCCATGTTCAGGTGAGAAACTATAGGGGTGCCCGTGTGGCTGGGGATCGGAAGTGGCCGGTGTGAGAGAGGCAGGTTGAGGTGGCCAATGAGAGTAGTGCAGAAGATGTTGTATGCTGAGGCAGTGAAGAAAGTAGAGGAGGGTGGATCAAGGGTGAGGAATTCTGAGAGGATTCCTGTGAATAGTAGATCTGTGCCAGAACAGAGGGATAGGCCAATGAGTGATATGTTTCAGTAAGGTTGGCTTCTTAGCGTTCATAGCAATGGTTATCAACTGTACCGCAGAGATGGAACGTAAATCAGAACATAGATGTTGTGGTGGCAGCTGCAGAGAAGTACTTGGGTATACGAGATTTGACTTCAGAAGAGTTACAGGGTGTGTTGAGTGGTAGTGTCCTGTCCTCTCAGGTCGTTGGCCTGGGATAGGATCAGATAGGGTTAAAGTAGTGGAATAAGGTTGTGGGTTTTAATGAGTGTAGGGTTAGTTGGTAGGGTAATTAAAAATATATTTATTTAATTTTTCCCGTTTCCCGTTTTCCCATTTTGTATCACGAAGTGTAATGGATTTATACTATAGTTCAGTTTGGGGCGGTAATGCAACAAATTGTATGCCAACCGCCGTTAAACTGACCCAACTCAATAGGTGGCCTGTCACGAACCGGTCTTATATTCTGGTTGAGATGTTTCTCTCATTACAGTAACTGGTGTAGTTTGGTAGTTGTCCCATTTCAGCTAACCCTAGTCGGCAGGTGTTATTAAATATACTAGTCATGTCTGCAAAAACACTACAGTAAATACTACAGTAAAGTCCGCAAAAACACTACAGTCAATACTATAGTCTACTACAATCACATCTGCAAAAACACTACAGTCAATACTATAGTCTACTACAATCACATCTGCAAAAACACTACAGTGAATATTACAGTAAGTCCGTGACAAGAAGCTGCCACGTGGGGAATCGTAGGTGGCTCGTTTCAGCTAGCTTTATAGGTGCGTTCAGGTCGCTTGAACGTTTACTACATTGCGGAACGGTTTGTACTGAACGACACGTTATCCCCAAAATATTATTGTACATTCTTGAACAGACTGAGGTACGTTTGTGGCTTGAAGCAATGATTGACATATTTAAAAGTGCAGTGGCCATGCTGACAGCGTTCCCACAACCCCTCCCCGTTTTTCAACTGGTTGTTCAGTACAGCACGTTCCAGAACGTAAAAACTTACTGAACGCAGCGAATTTGTTGTGAGGTGTTTTATGGCAACAACAAAATAACTGCTAGCTAACCAACAACTGTAACAATGTATTTGAGAGACAAGTGCTCATTGTGCACATTTGTGTATTCTACAGTAAAGTCCGCAAAAGCAATACAGTGACTACTATAGTATATAAATATAGTAACACTACATTATTTAGACCATATTTTAAACTGGGTGGTTCAAGCCCTGACTGCTGATTGGCTGAAAGCAGTGGTATATCAGACCGTATACCACGGGTATGGAAAAACATTTATTTTTACTACTCTAATTATGTTGGTAACCAGTTTATAATAGCAATAAGGCACATCGGGTGTTTGTGGTATATGGCCAATATACCACGGCTAAGGGCTGTATCCAGGCACACCGCGTTGCGTCGTGCTAAGAACAGTCCTTAGTCGTGGTATATTGCCAATATACCACACCCCCTCGGGCCTTATTAGTTAATTAAACTTTAGTATTTTTTCATGTGGGTTAGCTGTAAATGTGTACAATGTTTGAACTAGGACCACAATGGAAATACATTTGAAATTGTGTTATTTTCGAAAAAAAAAATCTAAATGCATTGTATCCACATTTGTGGTTCTATTGTGTTTTTAAATAGTCAAATACAAAAACAATCAAGGAATACTACAGTGTGGAGTATAGTATTCTACAGTATACTACAGAATTGAGGGGAAACCTCAGAGGAAATCCCGAGCATGAGCTCCCCAAGGACAGCATGTTCAAATCTAAACAGAATCGACAAAGCTAGCAGCTAGAAGTAAAGCTAGCTAGCAGTCCAATTGATCTAAACATTCTAAAGTAAGCACTACTTGATCAGGGGATACTACAGTGTGTAGTATATTATTCTGAGATACAGGAACCGGAAAGCCTGGCACCGACGATCATATCATGCTCAAAGTCGCTTAGGTCACTCGTTCTGCCCATTCTAAC